TCCTCATCCTCATATCAGATATAGACAGAGATGTAAACCACAGCACCGTATCATCCTTTGTAGACCATACTAGGATCTGCATGAGAGTGTCATCCACTGAGGACACGGCAAATCTCCAAGAAGATATAAACCAAGTTTTCCAATGGGCAACGGAGGACAAAATGATATTCAATGAAGACAAATTCCAGCTACTCCATTATGGAAAACTGGAGGAAATAATAGCTAGAACTGAGTATACTGTAAACTCTAATTACACAATAGAGCGGAAAAGTAATGCGAAGGACCTGGGAGTGGTAATGTCCGAAGACCTCACCTTCAAGGATCACAACAATGCCACTATCACATCTGCGAGGTAAATGATAGGATGGACAATGAGAACATTCAAGACAAGGGGTGCCAAGCCAATGATGATCCTTTTTAAATCACTTGTTCTCTCTAGGCTGGAATACTGCTGTACATTAACATTTCCATTCAAGGCAGGTGAAATTGCAGATCTAGAGAATGTACTGAGGACCTTTACTGCACATATAAATTCCATCAAACACCTTAACTACTGGGAACGCTTGGAAGCACTTGACTTGTACTCATTGGAGCGCAGGCGAGAGATACATCATAATCGACACCTGGAAAACCCTAGAGGAACTGGTCCCTAATCTGCACACAGAAATTACTCCCTACAAAAGCAAAAGACTTAGCAGGCGATGCAACATACGCCCAATGAAAAGTAAGTGCAGTATTATACACAAAGAGAAAACAATAAATGTCCTAGTGCCAAGACTTCAACAGCCTCCCACCAGCCATAAGGGCATTACCAGTAGACTCCTGGTTGTCTTCAAGAGGGTGTTGGACAGATACCTAAAGTCAGTGCCGGATCAGCCGGGCTGTGGTTCGTACGTTGGACTGCGTGCGGCCAGTAGTAACAGCCTCGTTATTAATGTTAAATCGTGTACTTCGAGAGTGTAAGATTCATTGTAGACGGATTCACTATATCCTGGGAGACAGTATGTATATACATGAGTGGAAATAACCAATAATCACATCGAGTGGTTGAAGACTGGAGGATCGAGTCGTCTGGAAGACGGGTTCAGGATGTTATAATATAGTAGTTAAGTACCCAGTAACCTGTTGAAGAATTACAAATATATACAACATTTTGGAATCTTTAAATTGTAGACGTCTCGCCACCCAGTGGCTTTATCAGTACAAAGATATGAGTAAGACGTATATGCAACAGTTAGATATCCTTATTCCGAAACGCTTCGCCTGCACAGTAGGCTTCTTCAGTAGAGGAAGCAGCTTACTGTGTAGGCGAAGCGTTTCGGAATAAAGATACCTAACTGTTGCACATGTGTCTTATCAACTTCCCAGTACTGTGTACCATTATCATATTCACAATACAAGGACATAAGGTGAAGATTGTAACTAGACTTTGTCGGTATCGTATATGATTCATGTACACCCGATAACCTGTTTAGACATACAAACCTCTATCATTTATACTTAGGTCGTAACCATGACATTGTATAATGCTATATTCCTATTTACTGTACAATACTTTATCTCTTATCTACCGTAAAGCACTGTGTCTCCACTAGAAGCTGTTTACCACACTTTCTTACCCACTGTGGAGGATACAGCCGCACTGTGTGTTGAAACCCAACTGTGGTGATAAAGCTTCACTGTGTATGATAAAGCACCACTGTGGGTGACACAGCACCACTGTGGGTGATACAGCACCACTGTGGGTGATGCAGCACCACTGTGGGTGATACAGCACCACTGTGGATGATACAGCACCACTGTGGGTGATACAGCACCACTGTGGGTGATACAGCACCACTGTGGGTGATACAGCACCACTGTGGGTGATACAGCACCACTGTGGGTGATACAGCACCACTGTGGGTGATACAGCACCACTGTGGGTGATACAGCACCACTGTGGGTGATACAGCACCACTGTGGGTGATACAGCACCACTGTGGGTGATACAGCACCACTGTGGGTGATACAGCACCACTGTGGGTGATACAGCACCACTGTGGGTGATACAGCACCACTGTGGGTGATACAGCACCACTGTGGGTGATACAGCACCACTGTGGCACTGTTTTAGAAACAGTTATGATGCTTAGCTGTGTATGTCACTAAACATACGTTGGAACTTTGACACCTGTTAAATACTTTCGTCTCACTCGCCAGACTTCTTACTCATTCGTAATTGCATATTACGTTACACACAATAGTGGATGGGCCACTGCTCATTCCTCCCTCTCCCCTATTTACTTAACCCCTAGTTTAATAATTATGTATCCTTCCCTAGTGGTTCTCTCCCCTCCTTACCAGATCCTATGGTGACCAAGACTTGTATCCTTGTTTCAAAATTATTCTCGATTTCTGCTATTCTGTAATGTTTTTGTCTTTCATGGTACGAGATATAGAAGCTATTATCAGTTGTCGTTCCTGGGAACAGAAGGTGTGTCGTTCCTGGGAACAGAAGGTATGTCGTTCCTGGGAACAGAAGGTGTGTCGTTCCTGAGAAAGCAGTGATAGTAGTCACGACCAGCTAGTGTGTAGTTCCTGGGAATGAAGTGACAGTAGTCACGACCGGCTGTGTCGTTCCTGGGATTGCAGTGATAGTCGCCACGACCAGCCGGTGTCGTTCCTTGGAATACAGTGATAATAGCCACGACCAGCTAGTGTGTCGTTCCTGGGAATAATGTGGTAGTAGCCACGACCAGCTGGTGTGTCGTTCCTGGGAATAATGTGGTAGTAGCCACGACCAGCCGGTATATCGTTCCTGGGAATACAGTGATAATAGCCACGACCAGCTAGTGTGTCGTTCCTGGGAATAATGTGGTAGTAGCCACGACCAGCTGGTGTGTCGTTCCTGGGAATACAGTGATAATAGCCACGACCAGCTGGTGTGTCGTTCCTGGAACTATTGATAGTAGCCACGACCAGTTGTCATTCGGTATGTTGGGTTTGAAGCTTATCGACTGCACGTGTCAGTTCGAAACCTTTTCATAAATCATTCACTATGAGAACATGGTCGAAACGTTTAAATGAGACGCTAGCAGATTTCAGACTACATTTCGCTTAGTTTCGAGCTTAATGTCTACAGGTGCTGTAAAATTTAAAAAGGCCACACTAGAGCGACACAATAATACATTGCCTACACAATTTGTTCTTACCCGATCAGCCAGGCTGTGGTTTGACTGTGCGGCCAGCAGTAACAGCCTGGTTGATCATGCCCCGATCCACCGCGAGGCCTGGTCAAGGACTGGGCCGCGGGGGCGTTGACCCCCGGAACACCCTGCAAGTAGACCCTGGTGTCTCACGTTCAGTCCCAGTCCCCAGTCGGTGTCTATGTCGTAGTCAGTTCACTGTCGTAACCCACTGATCAACCAGACTCTCGCTGCTCTTCCGGATAAGAGTTGTTATCCTGTCTCAGCTCATTAGTAGGATAAGATCTGTTATTCTACCTTTAGTCATTAACAGGATAAGATCTGTTATCCTACCTCAGCTCGTTAACAGGATAATATCTGTTATCCTACCTCAGCTCATTAACAGGCTAGAGTTATCCCACCTCAGATCCTCTCAAAGTTCAGTCTTATCTAAACATATTACTAATCTTGATTCTCTAGCATGTGAACCAGAACAGTCTATTAACACTCAGGTACCCACTAACTGTCAGAACAGTCTATTAACACTCAGGTACCCACTAACTGTCAGAACAGTCTATTAACACTCAGGTACCCACTAACTGTCAGAACAGTCTATTAACACTCAGGTACCCACTAACTGTCAGAACAATCTATTAACACTCAGGTACCCACTAACTGTCAGAACAGTCTATTAACACTCAGGTACCCACTAACTGTCAGAACAGTCTATTAACACTCAGGTACCCACTAACTGTCAGAACAGTCTATTAACACTCAGGTACCCACTAACTGTCAGAACAGTCTGTTAACACTCAGGTACCCATTAACTGTCAGGTGAACACGGGCATATCACACAGGATATGCATACACAGAAAGTTGTATGTCTCTCAGTGTATATACGGCGAGTTTAATCCCATGTTAAAGGATTGAAATATTATTGACTGGTGGTCAACAGGTGACACACAGTCTTAATGACCGTTGTGTTGTCGATAACTTTTAACCTTAGTTAACCAATTAAGCAACAAGGTGCAGGAGACACACACACGTCTCCACTCGCCTTACATTGAACTCAGGTCCTTCGGTTGTGAGCCAAAGGCACTATCACATTGATTTTTTTTAACAGTTAACTGAATACAAATTGATGTCATAGATGAATTTAGTAATAATAAGCTTTATGACGCTGCCTAATCTTGAACCAACCTAGCAGACTGAGATGTTAATGTGTTGGAGAATATTATTTGGAAATTGATAAGTAAACGCATGGTAAAGTAAGATAATTCGTTGCAATTATCATAACATTAACATTCTAACCAAACTGGTCAATGGTGTTTTATTTTAATCGTGAATTTCATGCCGAAAAAACATTTAACATTCACACGTTATCATATTTTTTTTCTGGAGGGGTATTTATTATTTTATTCCCATAAATGTAATAATAATATTTGAGCCTCAAGAAAAAGACAAGGTGTGATAATACCATTACACAATGTAATATTAAGTAAACTTGTACACTCTCCTCCCACAACACTGACACCACCGTGGATCACTAATTTCACTGCACTGTGTCCATAGTCACTGTAGAAGTTTCCCAGCTGCATATGTTTACTCTTAACAGAGATCGGTTAAAATTCAGTCACACATTTTGTTCATTATTTAAAAATCATATAATAAGGGAAAGTTCTTATTGCTTTTCAGAGTCCATCACTAGTCTATGTATTGAGAAAAACTCAATACTTGCCAGTTGATCACTTCATATTGTAAACATATTTTTAACAAATATTTTTGTAATGATAGAAAAGCCATCCCATTAACAAAGAAAAACTTAATGTTTACCAGCTTCATGTTGACTGGCAAGGAGCTGCTTGTCTCGCTACAAGTGTAAACTATTGTGTGAAAGTTCAAGCATATGTTCCTGGTATTTATATGCATACCTTCAGCAAGGTCATACAAAAAAAGCTACTTGGCGGCCTGGGTAGTGGCTGGGGCAGAGAGAAAGTATACGAGGAGGGGTATGTCAAGGGTAGATCCAAGCAAGATGCCACACAGTGTATAGACACAGAGAGGTGTATGCACTGAAACTTTACTCTAGTTCACATATAAGGAATTAAGTTTCATTGAAATTAGTATTCCGGTGAATTTTGGTTTTAATGACTGACGTGTAATTGACAGGCATCATAACAAACCAGCTAAAATTGTTTGTGCCTCCCGGAGTTGATAGACCGGACACTGACTTGTCCAGGTTGACGGATTCGTGTTACATTTGTATACATATGATTCTGAGAAGCGGGACAAAATTATAGTTTAAAGTTCATTTGTCTCAGTCGTTGAATATGTAACTTACATCAATAAAATTGATTACCCTAAGTATAACTTCAGCAAGTTGAATACACAGCCTGGCATACTTATAATCAAACGTGGTCCTGTGATGACCCGTATTGCATATTTATTTTATATTATCCTTGCATGTTAACAAGAAAAATTAACAAACTCGATATTGGATCACCCGATTTAAATCAGTGATAGAGTTAAAGGACCCGGGTTCTATCTTGGAGGAGTAGAGGGAAATGGGCACGTTTCCTTACACCTGCTGCTACTGGCCCATCCCTCGGGTATGACCTACTTGCACTGGGGAATCCCGCCTACCAGTGACCATGTCTGCTACACGTCCCTCACCTAACGCCACTTTAGTTAGTTTAATATCTTTATTATGCACCCCATACCCATCCTGTGGGCGTTAGTCAAAAGATTACAAAGGTACATAATGGGTCCAGTGACTGGACCCCAAAGTTATGATAGCTGAACTAGTTACAAAGGTAATGAACTCCAGGTAGATCTGGTCACAAAAATGGCAAGTTACAAAGGTAATGAATCAGCCTCACTCCTATACATGGTTAAAGTTATGAACAAATTACACCATTCTTCATGCCTGTGCTTCAAACTATTCACGACTATGGTTCTCTTCACCAACTCTAAGGCTGAGGGACTGATTACCTCATCCTTTGTATATAGTTCTACTGTATATAGTTCTAATGCCTTCCAATTAAGTCCTTGAATTTGTACTGATAAAGCCACTGGATGGCAAAACGTCTACAATAAAAATACTCAGATGTTACACGTGTCTAATTCTCAATTCTTCATATGTTACCCTTGTTCATTAGGAGTTAATAGGTACAACATAGGTGTTAGCCTTCTGTTTTGCATCACATGCTGGGATAAGGAGGATGTTTGAAAAAAGACCGTCCTTTGAAATGAGTTGAAGTAAGATTAAAAAAAAAATGGAAATATTGAGTAAGGAGATCAAACCTTGGCCAGTTTACCAGGACGTGGTTCACATGACACAGAAACAACTACTGCAAATGAGTCACTGTTTTTCCTTTAAATAAAACCCCTTTTCTCTAATGCTGCTTAACAACCAAACATAAACCAACTTAGTTTAATCACTGCGCATCCAGAAAGTTCTCGTATCCAATAATATTAACTTGTATTTTTTTTTAAAATCTTGAGGCTATTAAAATTTTTCAGCACGATAGCTAATTTCTTGGGGTACAAAAACATTTTTAAAATAAGAAAAACCAAAGGGAAAAAATGTTCATTGGGAAAATTAAATGCCCTTTTAAAGCACGACCCCTTAAGGAAATCAAAGTCCCAAAATTTTTAGATAAAGGAAACAAATTGGGATCATGCTGCAAATTTAACAGGGGAAAGCTTTTTGAGCAAAGCACAACGCATTAAGTTTGAAGTCGACAAAAGAGGCATTCTCCAGGTATACAAAATTCAACAATCCAACTTTTTTTAATTATTTTATTAATTTACGAATTTGTTTTACACAACAAAACTGCCAGTATTTCCGTTGCTCGAAGATACAGTAGTGTTAAACTGACGTTCTACACCAAAACATACCCATCTTTTCACTAAAAAAATACACAATTTTAAAAAAAAATTAAAAAAAAAATGGGGATAAAAAATTCTAATAATAATTTTTAACCTCTTCAAGTGGTATTCCCCTTTTGAAATTTGAATTTGATAAAGCTTCAAGTTAATGTTGTTTATTAAAATTTACTAGATAGCCCTTACACGCAAGGTAGAAAAATCTTACCCTGTACACAACACCAGATTTGAAGCCTATCGGCGAAATGTTCCCCCAAATTATACAAAAAACTTTAAATGGAAGACAACCGTGAGGGAACATATTAAAATTGACCTACGAAGAAATGTAATGTTTTTAAATAAGTAACACCACAAAGTAGCACGTCAGACACTTGTGTTTGTACACTGAGAGGTAACTCTGTCTGTACCCCAATATACATACAATATACACCGTTGTTGGGATTTTATTCTCTATATCCACTTTACCTGTGGGTGTGTGTGTGTGTGTGGTAGTGTGGACCACCTACTGTTTTCCTAAATTTTAGTTGCTGGGTCGAGTCATAGATCCCGGCCCCCCTTTTTCACCCCGGGCGCTACTAGGTCCACCTCACTTTCCCGACATTCCACTTTCTGACAACCTTGATGGGAAATACTTCCTAACCTCTGTGCCTCTTGGGTCTTTTAACTTTTTAATATGACCCTTTTTACTGTGCCCCATCTTGGGAAAATCCGCCTCGTCCCCTCTTTGTATTTCCTCCAGTTTCAAAATTATCTTTTAATGTCCCCCCCTCTCCCTGTCCTCCGTGTCGCCGGGTTTATTTCCCTAACCTCTCCCAGTAGGGCATGCCCCTTTTGTCCGGGATATCTTGTGCAAACCTTTCCCCCTTTTTAATTTCTTGGGCGTGCCCTTTTTTTACGGGGGGGGTTCCAAATGGGTGCATACTTAAAAAGGGGGGATGATGTAAAGGGTACAGAGTCTTGAGGATTTCCCTTTCTAGGGTTTTCAGAAAGCTATCCTGGTTTTCAGGCGCCCATATTCTTTCAATTTTTGTTTATGTGCGCCCCAGGAAAAGTGTCCGGTGTTATACTCAACTCAAGATCCTTTTCCTTGAGTGAGATTTGCAGTCTTTGGCTCCCTAGCCTGTATTCTCTCTGCGGTCTTCTTTCTCCTTCCCCTAACTTCATGACTTTTTACACTTGGTCCAGGAGCCAGTTGCTGGACAAGGCTTGCAGCTTGTCCATAGCCCTTTATAGGCCTGCCTGACCCTCATCAGACTGAACTTTCATTAGCTTCACATCGAGTGTGTGTGTGTGTGTGTGTGTGTGTGTGTGTGTGTGTGTGTGTATGCATGAGCGTGTGTAAATGTATCTGAGTGTATATACACTGAGTTATATTGTTATTATAGAAGTAAAACTATATATATGAGGTGAACTGTGGTGACCTTATTGGACCTGCCTCGCATGGGCCAATAGGCCTGCTGCAGTGATTCCTTCGTTCTTATGTTCTTACGTTCTTATCATCATGCAGGTTTAATTTGTATCTATTTTGTTACCGAGTGACCATGGAGTAGACGGTAAAGCAAGAATTTATAAATATACAAGTGCCCTAGAAAACAGTGCTTTCGATAAAATTAATCCTAGAAATGTAAATAGTACGAAAGTACCACCGACTTATAATATGTTCATTTTTCACTATAATCTACCTTGTCTATAATTACTATCACATTTGCTTTGTTTGTTTCGTAAGGTGAAGTTCAGGATCTTTCCTTAATTCATGGTCTGAACAAAGTTCAGACCTCTACAACACAAAGTTCAGACCTCTACAACACAAAGTTCAGACCTCTACAACACAAAGTTCAGACCTCTACAACACAAAGTTCAGACCTCTACAACACAAAGTTCAGACCTCTACAACAACAATTGTCAACAAAAGTTAAGGAAAGATCCTGAACTTCACCTTACGAAACAGACAAAGCAAATGTGATAGTAATTATGGACAAGGTAGATTATAGGGGGAAAATGAACGTGCTATTAGATGGGGGAACTTACGTTCATCTTAAGCCAAATTTAAGTTGCATCATCGCTGTGACATAGGTCAATGATACCATAGCAAATAAAGAGGAATTAGTAAAATAGTTATTGAATTTATATAGACGGAAACAGGAAGAGGCAATTCTGAAACAGCTGACGTTGAACGAAGAATGGAGACAAGTTAAAAACGCAAATGAAGTATAGTGAGCAGCATCACCTGCGGCTTAAATCTTGAAGAACACGGGTCAGCGAGACTGACTTGAGGGCTGGGCAAGTCTCCTTACACCTGTTGACCTTGCAGTAAATAGGTGCCTTGGTGTTAGTCGGCTATTGTGGGTAACATCCTGGGGAGAAGAGGCTGGTAATACACCGTAATGTGACGTTGTCTACAAGTAGAAGCAGCGTATGGAACCTGTTCCTGAACTGCTAATTCCTTACAAGACGTGTGCAAGAAAATGGAAAACACAGTACCTACTCACAGCATAATTATACTCTGTTGCCTTAAAAAAAAGTAATTGTGCTACTGATGGTCGCAAAAAAAAACGAACCACCTTTAATACGTATCATGTTTACGAAATACCTTGCAAGGTTAAGTGGTTAGTCGACCTTCAAGCCTATTGACGCATGACAGCAATAAGTCAGGAATACATTAATCCCAGTATTTGGGATTAAAGTTTAAATGTGTACAAACCGAGTTATACACCCTTCCATGAGTACATGCACTGTTCCTCTCAGTGTACACATATCAAGAGAAATATATTCATCAGAATATATACAAAGTTGAAAGACCGTTCCCAGTCACACATGCGCCCCAGAAAAGTAGAAATTTAATTACTAGAGTAAATGAATATACGAGGTCTGACATGTACACGAAAATTTAGCGGTTTTTCAGCTTGCCAAGAACAACAACCCTGTTATTAACTGCCTCCACTATGTATGATACATAATGCAATACCTGGGCACAAAACCCTTGAGTTGGTTGTGATTGCTTCAAGACCCAGTTTCAACATCTCACAAGATAATCGAAGGCTGACGGAATGACCACTTCTGTTCTGATGTCACTGCACCTGGCTTGGACACTACCCCTGACCTAGTTTCTGGACCTTACTAACTTACATTATGTG